CCTGCTGGCGTAAACAGGCGGAGCTCCGATTTACGCCAGCCTAAAACCAGTCAGAGCTGGGGTTTTCTGATGGTTTGATATGGGCTGGGATGGGGAAGGAGAGTTCAGGTCAAAGAGGATTTTGCATGAGAAAAATCACCGCGCTCTTGTTACACTGTTAGGAGTAATAGTTCCTTAGGCACTTGCTTTAGGCTTTAAAACATAGCGTATGGTCAACAAAAGCAAACAATACTATGTACATATATGTAAAAAGTGTTATAAATAGGTTTTTTAAACCATAGATACTATATACATCTTCAATTAACAAGTAACCCTTTGAGTGTTTCCTTTTGGGGTCGGTTGGGTTTGGTTTTGGTTTTGGTGGGAGGGTTTATTCCTTTTCTTTTTTTTTTTTTTCCTTTTTTTTTGGTTAATTTTCTTTTCCGTTTTCTCGTCTATTTTCCCCCGCCTCCGTCTCCTCCGTGGACGTCATGAGTGCCCTTGTCATGCCACGCCGCTTCCCGCGGCATCACTCGCGCTTCCGTAGGATGACGTAGACGATGCCGCTGGCGAGGGCCAGGGGGAAGGCCAGCCACGCCAGGATATAGGCGAAGCCGTAGGAGGTGTTTTCCGAGGCTTGGTGCCAGTCCGTGTGCCTCACTGTGAAGATGGCCGCGCCGCTCATCACGCAGAGCCCTGCCGGGGAAGCACACATAGGAAGGGCTTAGCAAAGCCACGCGTGGAGCAGTTCCTGCTGGAAACCCAGAGCCAGAGAGGATAATACCCGACGCCGGCACGGGAAACTGGTTTTATTATTGCCTCTTTGTAGCCTGGCTCCTGGAAAATACGGTATGATTTGGGGGGTGTGATGCTGGTGAGTGGGGATATCTCTGCCAGGCTCTGAGCAAGCAAAGCCCGAGCATCGCCTGGGCTAAGCCATCCCTCAGGCAAGCATCAGGCATCCCGCAGCTCCGGGCTGCTGCTCCGGACCACCCCGCTCCCCTCGGTAGCTTATTTAAAACCAGACTGTAGCCTGAACCACCCTACCAGAGCTGCTGCAAGATGTCAGACACAAACTCCATTTCTTTTAAAGTACAAAAGTTTCTTTATCAGCTGCCCAGGCAAGTACAGCTGGGGGCCAAGGATGCTCTGGCCAGGCAGGTCTGTGCCCTGAGAGCCCCCGTCCTCCTCTGCGAGAGGAGCAACCTGCAAACCCCCCGCCCTGCAAACCCCCCGACCCTGCACATCCCACTGTGCCCGTGGCTCGCCCCTCCTCCCCCCGCTCACC